CCAAATACTTCACTTTAATCTTATCAAACCATCCACATCAGGCAGCGTGCCCTTCGTGTTGTTTAGCCTGTCAGCGTTTTCACTACAGGAAGCCAGTATGTGTACGCTCCCAGAAGCATTTAGGGATGAGGGTAGAAACTAAGATCAGGTATGCATGTGTATGTGTTTATATTCTTAATCACTAGGAAGGGATGGGGGAGGGGGGTGTTTTGGCTGTACACAAAGCATCTCTGATATGGCTACATACCTGTTTGTGCATCTCAATGTTAAGCCCGTAGGACATCTCATAGTACTGTAAAAGAACAGAGAGCAGAAAAAGACATTATAAACTTAAATGAATTCATATGTTGAATTAATTAGAGACAGATGTTTATACATAATGACACCATTCTTAATTGAGCAAAACGCAAGACAGTCCAAACTGTTCTAGACTTTTCTCTGAACGCACAGAGAACTCGTGCAACAAGACAAACAGTGGTTAACTGGTGTGACATCTTATTGGTCCCCTCAAGCACCCAAACAAGAATAAAAGAAGTCAATCACATGTAGAATAACAACTGAAGCGAGGGCGAACTGACATTAGCCGACGAGGCTGACATCTCAACGTGCATTTTTCAGCCGCGGCAGACGCTCGCCTGGCTGCAGCGCCTGTTTACTTCTACTTGGCACGGCCTCGTCTTTGAGCGCAAACCCCGTCCAGACAGCAAGGAGAAAGCCAATACTATTATTGAAAACAACATTATCTGCTGCTGATTGCCAAAAAAGCTTGCAAGCCCACCAACAGATACAAACTAAAGCCTAGTAGTTTGTCTGCCTTGTTTATCAAACACACAGCAAACAGCTTCCATTTATTGTAGCTACTCCCACCACCTTCTGGTTCCTCACAGGGAAAATAATATTTAACAAACGTACTGCTGCGTTTGGTTAAAGTCATTCCTTTCATGTACAAACAAGATAAGCACGCACATACACAAGTGTGAGGTCTAAGTTACACAACTTGTCAGATAAAGATTGTTCTTTTTTTCTCTTTTTTCTTGCCATGCACACAATGAAGCCTTTCCTGTATTAGCAAGAAGCTTTGAGCTGGCTTGTCTTTACAGAGGCACAGATTTCTTTGTCTCCCATTTGATCATCAGAGAGCTCTGAATTGACTATAATAAGATTTAACTGCACTCTTGGAACTGTTTTACATTTAACCCTTTGCAGCACTTTGATAAGCATCAAGTATTATCTCACTTCTCAAGTGTGGTTTCCATTAAAAGGTGAAAGCTCTGACACATGCAGTGCACAAAGCAAGCAAAATGACATGCAGCAAGTACGCAGGGTCAGATTTTTAACTTCCTGCTCTCTGACTTCGAACGTGATTTAAGCTGCGACTAAAAGCTACTCATCTAGTAAATGCCCCTGGGTGTTTTTGGTGATGTGAAACCCTTACAGACACATTTTGAACTTGCATGCTTTTGAGTTTATAATCAGAAACAATACAGAAACATGAGAACATTTCTCATCTGACAAACTGATCAGCACACTAACATTTTAGAAGGGGGGGGGGGGGGGGGGGGGGGGGGGGGGGGGGGGGGGGGGGGGGGGGGGGGGGGGGGGGGGGGGGGGGGGGGGGGGGGGGGGGGGGGGGGGGGGGGGGGGGGGGGGCGGGGCGGGGGGGGGGGGGGGGGGGGGGGGGAAGAGAGACCTAAATCCATTACTTACTTTGATTATCAAATGTACGTTTTTTCCATCCATTTTTTTACTAATAGAGAGATAGATTTTACTGATATTTCAATAACAAGTAATTATCCAACAAGTAGTTCATTATCGTTGCAGCTGGGGGGAAAAACACACACAAAGTCTCCCAATATGTGAGAAATCTCTGGGTGTGACCACATGGCTCACTCTGGGAGAGTTAAGATTTAAAACTTTCACACACACACAGGAAGCTGTCTGATTCACACACACACACAGCCGGCAGACCAGTCATTAACCCCCAGTGGGCCATGCTGGGTGTGTTAGGGAGGGGCGGTGGAGGGTCATAAAGAGGACCCCAGAGCCACTGAGAGGAGGGGTAGGGGGGGTGGTCACACCCCACAATCAATAGTTGGACGTTTGACCTCGGCTACAGTTTCACACCCCCTCCCTTCTTATCCCATGAAAACTCAGACGTGAGTCAACAGTCTTAACACAGGCTCTACAAAAACAACCAGGTTCTTTTCAGCACCTGTGACTGTTCACCACCTGAGGCGAAAGGGAGGAAACGCCATTCAAATCCTGTTCTCGGCTTAATAGCTGTAGTACTCACCATGACGTAGTGACGCTGCATCTCCGTCTTTTCGTTGGCCAGTTTGTCGTATTCTACTTTAAGGCTGGGTGGAGAAGAAAAAGCATTGCGTTTGTAAAAAGGATCGGTACACCGCTGCAAAATGTTTGGTTTTTGTGCGCCACGTTATGATTGCACAAAGCTACAGTAAGGGAACAAAACATCAACGGCTTCTGCTTCATGTTTCCAGGAAGCCGTTGGTTTTTACAGTAGTCTAGTCATTACCTGTGGTACTGGGCCTGCAGGAACTGAAATTCATCTTTGATCCTATCGCAGGACTCTGCTACTGTGAACTTGAAGCCAGGCTGCCCTGGCTGGTGAGGAGCCTGAAAAGTGTGAGATTGGAGATACCACAGGTGTAAATAACATCATCACATAGCTGAGCTCTCTCTCTTGGCACCTCCTCCTCTCCTTTATTTTATTCTTTTTTTTTTATAACACCCCTCAGTCCTTTTTTAATGGTTTGTCTTCTCGTTTCCCTTGAGTCTTGGACTGGCAGATGGAGCTGCTTTCACTCAACTTGTGCAGTGACAGAGATGTGACTTTATCCGTTTGCCATGTAGAGTCTCTAAATCACACAGTGCTGTTTTTTTTCTTGCCCATTTACTTTTGGGGCTTTTAAAAGGAAAAAAAACTGATGATCTACTTTACGAGTTCAACACAATCTCAGATCTTGTTTCCAATAAACACCACCTCTCCGTGCCTCTCCTTGCCACAGTGAAGCCCTCAGCAGCACTGATGCAGACCATAAATAGTAAGGTGTGGATCAGCAGCTTCACTCTGACGAGCTAATTAGGCCATTTTGAAGGGCAGCGCTTCTGCATCAATTTACAAGCAGCGAGTAAAGACGGGGGACTTACCGGATGCCGGCCTTGTGGATACATGTCTAGTCTTTTTTTTCACACGGGAGTCGGTGTGTTGTTTTTCTCGTGCTTTCTTTCCGTAATCCCAGTGAAGGTGCGGTAAATCCCCGCCACCCCCTCCCCGATATGCGCAGGATGGCGGCGGACAAAGCCTCGTTCTCGGCTGCGAGGCGCACACTCAGAGCCAGCCCAGCGGATGGATCAGCTCCTTTCTTTTGTACCTAAACAAACAGAAAACAGCTGGATCACGTTCACAGCGCCTGAAAGCAACACAAACGTAGAGCTTTATGAACTCTCCGATACACCTTGTGCAAAATGCAGAATAAAGTAGTTTTCTTTTTTTTGTTGCCCACTAATTCTCTGAACGTGTGTACCACAAAACATAAATCTGTCGTCTAGATTTGCAAAAGAAAAGAAAGGGAAAAAGAAAAAACCAAGAGTGGCAGCAAAATGCGTTTGATGCCACGGACCAAATAAATCCCAAAGTTTAGACTTTTGATCACACCCGCAACGACACGATGCGCTTTTTTTTTGGCTTTTTCCTCGTAAATCTAACGAGTCGTCTTCCACTAGAGGGTAAAGAAAACACGCAACTGTTGTTTTTGGTGGTCCTGGAAGATCAGAAAACAAGGAGCTGCTGCTTTCAAAGTCGGCTGCCATAAAGCCACCGCCACCACTACTACCACCCGTCTTGTTAGCGGCTCTCTTCATGTAACCCCCCTCTTTTTTTTTTTTTTTTTTTACCTTTGTCTCGACTGATTCCTCTCCTCCTCTCCTCTGCACAGGTAAGAATAATGTATATGAAAAAAATATTATCCACACGAAGCTTAATATCCGGTAATCTGTAACGTTCACCGCAGACAATTGTCCGTCGTCGTTTCTGTTTTTCATACACTTCTTTGCTCTTCTTTGCCCCCTTGAGAGTCCTTTAAAAGCCCCGGTGATTCCCGAGACTGAGAGCGCCGCTCAGTCCGCTCGGACGCTGGAAACCCCTCGACTGGGACGAGTTTTTGACCGCAGACAACTTCAAAGAAAGCCTCTGTTAGATCCAGTAGCAGCTCGAAACTCTTCCAGTAAGTCCAGGGATTATTATTTTGCGACTCAAGCGGTTCTTTTTTTTTTCTTGTTTAAAATGTCGGCCGTTGTGAAACGCACCGCCAGCCTGCAGTTGGGTACCCAGTTCCTCTGCCGCGCGCTGTACCACACACAGACTGTGCACTGACACGAGGACCCGACTGCCGAGAGAGGGGCCTCGCGCTAACCAATTGGGTTCTCCGGAGGAGTTTAGCGCCGAAGACCAATCACAGCGCGTCAGTCCCACGTGGGGTACACAGCACTGTCGCGTTCTGATTGGGCCACGATATGTGACCTCGCATGTTCGCCATTTTGGATTTGAAGTGACATTCGGTGCGTTCAACAACTTGTTCAAAACAAAGGTAATAATTTATATGTCCGTGCACTGCAGCGGGTGCCCGAGTGTTTCACAATACTACACGGTATGTACCAACGAGCTGTACAATTTAAAACAAGTCTCGTTCTCAAATAGAGAAAATAACCCACCCCGAAAATAGAAGGGATCATTTTAATAAAAGCTTCTCGCCTTCAAAATCTGCTCACTATATGAGCAATTATAACTGAAGCTGGCGTGACCCTGAAAAAGAAGGTTATAGTTTGAAGCTTGACTATTTCACTGCGCTCTCGGTTGAAAAAGAGAGCTAGAGATGCCAAGAAAAAGAAATACGTCCTATTTCTGTGCCAAGAATAATACGCGCTCATAGAATTTCATTCAAGACTCGAAGTGCGCAGATGTGAATACCCCTTCATCTACAGCAGAGTGTCCTTTGAGTGACTTGAATTGATCGACCTATTTCTAACGAGACCTCAAGCATCTACAAGCTTTCCTATCAGCAGCACTAGGTAGGCTACAACACGTCTGCGCCTCAGCCTATCACGTGTTTCTCACTATGCCCTGCCCCACGTGGGTTCCCTCTTTCCCTCCACCCCCTCTCCCTCCACTTCACCGCCTTTCATCCAATGATCTCGCAGCTGTCTTCCTGCGCGGCTCACCATTGGCTAGGGGCTGGAAAAGCTGTCAGTCAGGAGTCCTAGTTGTCAATTAAACCCACGTTGGGTACGGCGCTGACAAATGCCTGTGCTACTCTCCCTCCTGCCTGCGAACAGTGCCTGGAATGGCTGCTTAATTAGCTTCGAATGGCTTTTCCTTTCAGCTCAAACAATCTGTCACTACCATGTGGTAAAAAGAGCCCTGCATAAAACAAAAGCAGGAGAAAAAAAAAGCCAGTAGGGGCTAAATATCAGTTTGATTCCCCCCCCTCTCCTCTTCAACCCCTCCATGAAAACATTTGCTGCAAAACAAAGCTTTTACCTCGCTCAAACACTGGATTCTCTCACTCATCTGCTTCTGCTCTCATTTTCTTCTAAAACTAGATTCATTTGTTTACCTGGGTGTCCATTTAGCCCCTGCATGTTTAAATTTAGGGACCAGATTTTTCTTTTTGCTTGTGGCCTGGCTTTACCTGACCCACATGACATTTATGCTTTGACTGATATATTAGCATGCTGTGAAATGTCTTCCCCACTGTTTCATTTCACCTAGATTTAGTTAGTCCATATATATTATATATGATTATAATATATATATTATATATATATATATATATATATATATTATAATATATGTGTGTGTGTGTGTGTATATATATATATGTGTGTGTGTGTATGTATGTATATATTACACTTTAAATTAATGCATCCTAGCATTAATAATGGTGATAGCATGTATGACACTTAACCACATGTCGAGAGCAAATTTAAGAGGAAACTGCTGTGACAACAAATGAGAAAGGGGGGAAAATGTGAACTGTTTCAGAATAATACTTTGCGGTGACCATAGTGAGAAATACTCTATGTTATTTGTAGCATAACTAAGTGCCAAAAGTCAAGAAGTATATCAAATTTGAACTGCAGCTAGCATGCTGAGAGCTTTAGCTGTTGCTAAGCAACAAATGTATCCCTCCTGCAGATGTGGTGACATCAGTTGGGATAATAACTCATGCACTGAGGGCATGTCAGTGAGCAACACACTGGCAGACTTTAAAGAAGGCCCTTTTTTTCCCCCCTGCACAGAACTTCTCCTAATGATGAATTATCTGTAGTCCTCGCTGTAATCATGGCACTCTGAGTGGGAACGCACTTAAACTACATGCAAACTCTTTGCACTTCTCCAAATCTGAGCTTCCTGAGGGAACTGTTAGTTCTCAGCCAGGAACAACCGCTGTCTGGCTTTGTGTTTCTGACAGACACTTTGACTCGTAACCCATTAACAGGTAATACCAACGGCCTCCCATTATTCTATTTAAAAAGAAAGAAAAAGTCACTCTTGGAAAAAACCATTTCTGTCATGTTTTCCAATCTGATTTAATAATTGTGCCAATTTCCTTGCAAGTTTTCAGGCCCTTTTATTTTGTTATGTTTCATAGAATTTGACAACCACACAAATACAGAATATCAATCAAATGTGTAAAGAAAATTAAAAAAAAAAAAAAAAATCTGAATTGAGCTGTCATGCATCCTGTTTCTGTCAGTGGTCCTTAAGGCTGCCTCTAAAAATTCACCCGAGTCCACAGCTACCCGAGGGTCATCAATTTTCTAGCTACTCTAGTCTGAATTAGCCGACGAGCTTGTAAACTTGTAGCTTTTTCCTGTTGGTTTGGTTTCTTTTTGCACAGAGAACGCTCTAAGTGACCTCGAGGTGATCCAAAAGTCGTCACTACAAACCGCATAAGGACGTTCAGTCCTCTTACTGGATGGATGTGTCTCGGTAACAAAAAGTAAAAACAGGAAGAAGGTGCTGTGCTCTGGACTAATAGATATTCTGTCGGCTGCTCCCTTTAGGGAATCATCTGTCTCCATCTCACCCTACCCTCTTCTGTCATGCCAACCCCGCTGGATGTCTTCCTTCACTACATCCACGAACCTCTTCTGTGCTCAGCTTCTTTTCCTCATGCCTGTTACCTCTATCTTCAAGATCCTTTGTCCAATATATCCACTTATTCCTCCTCTGCACATGTCCGAACCACCTCAGCCTTGCTTCTCTAACTTTCTCTCCAAACTGCTCAACCTGTGCTGTCCCTCTGATGTACTCATTTCCTGTCCATCCTGATCACTCACTCAAAACCTGAGCATCTTCAGCTCGGCCTGCTATCATCTATTTATTTATCTACACATTTGTGGTACATCCCAGAATGCAAAGCATAGCCGGTTACAGGTAGGTGTTTAGCTGAGACACCTGTACACTTGGAAATTGGGTCATATCAAGGCTGGAAAAAAAAAGAAGCTATAAGCTCCACAGACCTGCGAGAAAGCATTGTGTCAGTGCACAGACCTATGGGGGAACCATATCTGCAGCGCTGAAAAGCAGCCTCATTAACTCCGTCCCTACAGTCAAACACGGTGGTGGCAGCATCAGACTGTGCATCATGCCTTTCAGCGACAGTCCCTAAAACAAGGGACCAATCAGGGCAGAGGGAAAGATGCATCCAGAGAAATATGAATCCATTCTGACTGAAAACCTTTTCCAGGAAGCTCAGGACCTCAGGCTTGGGTGAAGGTTTACATTTCAACAAGACAAAAACCCAAAGCACAACGTCAAGAAACCTCATCTGTCAACATCTGGAGCCAACAGAGAATCATTTCTGGAAGGACCTGGAAATGGCTGCAACCTGCTTGTGCTTAAATGTACCCAACCTTTAAGACCATTCACAAAAACACTGCACACAAAGGTACTTCAATTAAGTAGTTGTGAGGGGTGTCCTTCATAAAAGAGATATTTCATATTAAAACATATTAAAAAAAATGTTTTTAGCATGGTCATCATGTACTGAGTGTAGGCTGATGAGGAAAAACAAAAGTCTGAAACATACAATGTCTTACATTTTAAAAACTGCTGCACATAATCACAAGAAAGCTTCCTAAAGTTTTGTTGAAACAGCTTAAGTGACGTGATGGGTTCCAATCTTTAATCTGCTGGATATGATTTAATAAAAAGCATTAAAAGTTCATTATTGAGTTATGGAAAAATTCTAATTATCAACTAATCTTTCTGCAAAAGAACAGAAAAAAACCCACTGGAGCAATTTCCTCTCTGCCTCTCCTCTCTTTTGACCTTTGACCTTAATCACACAAACTTGCGGGCTGTACCAGTGCATTCTGCATGTTTCAGAACAAACGCATCCAGACAAGAGCAGATACACAAGTTCAGGTTTCATTTAGCCTCCAACTCTGAGTAAGCCCTGTTATTTAGTTTAAAAGCGTGCCGGCACGAGTGGCTTCACCTCGCAGGCTCTGTGTGTATTTGCACTGCTTACTGCAGTTTCTAAGTACATCCTAGAAACAAGCCAACCAGGTGTATTAGAGACTTACGCCCCCCTCCCCATAGGTAAGGCTGTTAAGGTAAATCTTAACGTGCTCTGCAAGAAAATACAAATTACTGTGACTCTTAAATTGATTAAATTACCCACTGTTATTATGTAGGATGTTAAAGCACAGTTTTCTCAAAAGTCTAAGTAAAGTGCTCAAGAAAATAAGTATTACTCTAATCCACTTCAGAAATAAGAACAGCCAATTGATGTGTAAGTTGCCTCCCAAAGGCACCGTTTGCGCATCATCATTTTCATCAAGTCTACATTAAAAACAGGAGCGTGACAGTTTGGGTAAGTTTGTTTCACGTTCAGAAACTACTTCTTTGTGTAGCCTTTGCTATCAGATAAAGGGCTCACTGTGTTTCAGGTTTTACTCAAGACATTCCTTGTAGAAAAACTGTTTTATTACGTTTTATCTACATGGTCTTATGTACTATAATGCTTTTACAGTAGGTCTAAATAATAATAAAAAACCTATAAAAATTTGATAATTTAGCAATAAAAAACCCAAGAAGAGTCAAATCCACAACAAACAGAACCTAAGAGATGGTGTATGAACACCAACACAGGAAGCAGTTTCAGGTGCATTATTTTACATCAAAACTAATTTCTCTTCTGTAACTCTTACATACCAAATCACCAGGCAGTGTACTCCAACATGCTTTGGTATTTAACCCAGAATCCCCAAAAGCATTAACTACTGTCCAATTGAATGCTAATTACATTTAATTTAATATAGATGCTTCCCAGGTTTGATCCTGGGTCTGATCTAAGTATGAAGGAACTGAGTGGACCAAGTGTACGAGCTTTGCAGCAACAGCCAGAATTTTAAACAGTCCAAAACCAACTGCTAGCATATCTGCATCATCCCCTATTCATCATAGCTGTACTCAAGTGGGCATGTACTGTTGATTTAAGCAGAGCTGCTGGTCAGGCATGCTGATATTTGTCAGTTTGCTCTGCGCTGAGCATCCTGGGATCGGTATGTGTAGGCCTGGTGTAAGGATGTGGGTTATCTGGGAACTGGCAAACACAGTGGTGGTCTCCACAGGCCCGGGACTCTGATTCAAGAACCACATACAAACAGACATTATCGTACAGCTTCATCTGACACATCAAGAACCCCGGACGTGTCTCTCTCACACACTCACAGTGACACACAAACACTCACACAAAGATTCACTTTTCATCCCGCTCAAGAGAGAGTGGCCTAGATTAAGCAGCAACAAAGGAGCAGGCTTCACCTCTGGGATAAGGGTGGGGGAGTCCGCCCTTGTAGACCTCCGCACTGTTTATTTGCACTGGAAACCCAGACGCTGTGAAACTCCCACTCTGAGGCGCTGCACAAATATTGAGGCTATTTGCAGAGGTGGTTTTAATTCTTTACAGAGCAATGATTGGCTCTTTCCACTACCATCTCTGCAAGAGCTTCGCCAATGGATTCCTTAAGCCTTTACTGCAAAC